TCACGTTAATAACTGACAAATAGATCATGCACTATGCACGTATGAACATTAATCGCATTTTATTTGAATGTCATCATATAGTTCAATAAATAGAATAGACACTCAAACAATTGATCGACTTGTTTACAATTTTAGTATTTATTGCTCAGGTTTTTACTAAGAAACAGTAAAGAATGACAATAATTGTTGTCTAAAGCTATAAATTATCTTTAAAAGTTTTTTTGTTTTTAACTTGATTAATAATTATTGTTGGTAATATTAATATTTATAGTTTATATTTCATACATTACCGGTATTAAACGTTAATAATTTACGAAGTCAATATCATAGATAATATTTAATATTATATAATATTATGACAACTTTTATCATTCTTTTTTTAAATTTTATGATTCTATAAAAAAATAAATATTTAACGTTGCATTGAAATAATTACAAAGTTTTAATATTCAAAAATATTACAAACTACCAAAAATATGAGGGCCGCTCAAAATTGAGGCCAAGTGACTAGTCACCCAGGAACCCCTCTAAATCGGGTATTGCACTTGACTAATAAATTTGAGAAAGCCTCTATGTATAAAATATAAATTATGAATTATAAAAATTTAAAAAAAAAATATATATTAATTGTATATGAATATAACTTATTAACTAATATATTTATATATCTATTTAATAAACTAAAAAATCATAAAAAGAAAAAAAGATACACACTCATATTTACAAAAAATTGTATTTTGTATCGTCCTAATAAAACATTGGTCTAAAGTTTTCTAGAGATTTTATTTATGTATCATTTTTCTAAAACAATTTATATATGAATGGATTTATACTTAGATACGATGTGAAACCATACGAATAAATAAATAAATAAATAAATAAATAAATCGAGTTAATCTTTATAATAATCAACAATATAAAATAATAAACTTCAACACTATTATTGTTATAAGGATACTTTTAATGTATTTTCATAATTCAATATGTTACACCGTTTAGTACATTCACATATATTTGTCAAATGAACAAATTTTTAAAATTGTGGCACCAAAACGGTCTGCGTCAAACCGGTCCAGCACAAATACGGCGGCGACGCCAAAACGTCCTAGACCAGTGATGCCCAACCTTTTTCCTTTGGCGGGCCACATTGGTAAACAATTATCTTCAAACGGACCACAAAGTATTTAAGTACAAAAATAATCTTATATATTGGACTTGTTTTCTTATCTTTTATTGTCCATTGAAAAGATTATGAATTGAGGTATACATCGTAGGTACACATTAGTTTGATCAGTACGTTATTTTAAGTACCTACATTTAAATATTCAAAATTTAAAATTATAAGGACCTGGAAAACTTATATTTGATATGTATAATACTGTTAAAGCATTTGATGCAGTATTAAAATTATTTATTGATCAAACTGAGCGCAACGACTTTAGCCATTTTGAAAACTGCCAAATGTTTAAAAATGAAACAAAACCGTTCAACAAATCATTTGTAGAAATGTTAAAGAAGTCGGAAACCGATTTTTCATCTCAATTTTTTGATGTTAAATTACACGAAAAATTGTGGCGTTTATTTGAAAATCCATTTAATATTGATGAAAATGATGTCGACACTTTTCTTCAACTTGAAGTTATTGAGTTGTAAACAAATTCATTTTACTGTGATGAATTTCAAAAAATGAAACAAAATGATATTTTAAAATTTCATTCATAACTTCCACATGAAGATTTCCCTAATTTAAGAGACTTTATAATGTATTTGGCTGGACGTAAATATACGAACAAATATTTTCACCAATGAAACAAACAAAATTGGTTCATAGATCACGACTTACGGATAAACACTTTCATTCAATTTTGAGGATTGGAACCACTAAATTTCAACCAGATTTTTCATTATTAGTAAAACGAGTACAAGCTCAAATTTCACATTAAAAATAAGAGCATAATATTTTTGTATAATTTTTAGTTTTATTATTATCATTATAGTTGTATTTTTTGGAATAATTATTTAAACGAATTCATAAATTTATATAAAAATAATATATGAAAATAAATAATTTAAAAATGTTTTTATACATTTTTAAATTTTTTTTTTATTTTAGAATATTCGTAACGGGCCACATAAAATACCTTTGCGGGCCGCGGGTTTGGCACCATTGTCCTAGACCATATAAATACACATTTATATTTTTTCTTTATTGATAAATTTCAAAATTTTCGTAATTCCGGTATGTGCATACACAGTAAAATATGATTTTTTTAAATACCAACACCTATTTTTAACATCATATTTGGATTACAACCGAGAGATTCAGAGTTTTTTTAAATTGGTGAACATATTATATATTTTTTGTAAAAAATATTTTGTTATAGAAAGTTTGAAATTGTATTTTTTGTGGATATTCAAGTAAAATAATTTATAGTGAGAACTTTATTTTTTTTTAACTTAAATGACTTTTTGTTAAAATGTATTTATTATTTTATTTAAAATTCTGAAGAGGAGTAGTGCAAAATTATTGAAAATTTAAACGGTTGTAGAGAAAAAAAAGGTAGAAAAATATTGATCTAGGTAGGTATTTCTATAATCTAAATTGATTATAGTATAGTATTTTTCTATTACTTTCCGATGACAAAATCTGCAATATAGGAAATAAGACTTTATGAGCTATTCCAGAAACAGCCCAATAAGTGTTTACAAATGAAAAATACCATTATCAAAAACAATAAGATGAAAGAAAGGCACGACTTATTTGAGCTTTTCCCAACTTGTGAATAGTGAATGAGTTCTTCGAAAGTGACCGTAGCTGAATATTACCAGACTTATTCAAAATGGCTGTACTTGCTCGAAAGAAAGGGATTCTAGGTATATAGTTATACCTATTATAACTACAGTATCTATATATATATATATATATATACTTATTTGCTAATATGACTTTACAGAAGTTACCTAAATGTGTACTATGCAGTATAGGTACAGTCAAGTTCTATAACACATTATATATTAAAAAATCAACCATTTTGTTGATAAAATTGATATGGTGTCACGTACATTAAATACCTCTGTGTTGTTTCTTGGAACCTCATAAAGGTATCTTTTATCCTGAATGTAATAGCTTATACAATACAAGACTAAGAAATGCTGAGTAGTATTCGTGACTCGTATTTAAACAGTTATTCTTGACAGTTATAGTTATCACTGAGAAGTGAATCTGTTTACTTTTGAATGCAATAAATTAGTTCCTTAACTATGAACTATATTTTCATAATATATTATATACAATTAACAGATTTCCATTTTTGAATGTTTAACAATTATTGGTTTCCAAAGAGTATTTAAGATGAATATATGTTGTAAGTGTAAGAATAAAATATTTAACACTTATTTAAAAATATAATAAAATATGAAAATCATACATCTTAATTTCAAATCTAGTGAAATGATTTGAGGTGCGTACACGTAACCTCGTGTTGCAAAAATTATGTATAATAATATAAATGATAGTTCAACAATATTATTTTTCATTAGTCATAGTGAAACAAAAAAAAAAAAAAATTTTAACATTTTTCTAGATTTTGGCACCTTCTATTAAGTTAAAAATGGCTAGTATTTTGTTGAAACAATCATAAGGCCAACCTGATCACATTGTATTCTAAATTTGGTGCTTTGCCAAGCCGGCAAACATTTAAGACCAATTTATATATTTTAGTCTATTGCATCAAGACTATAATAACGCTTAGACACTTTTTGGTGTATAATAATTGACTAGGATTATGTTTAACCACATTCAGAAATACTTGACCATTAAAACAAAATCTATTATTTATACTTCTACGATTTCACTAAAATTTAAATACAAACTAAATAAATAGGTAACCCGCTAATACTTTATGTGTATGTCTTTAAATACATTACCTACCAATAGTAATTTACCACGCATACTGATATGTAAATATTTCAAATAAATCTTCAAAAATGAAAAGTAAAGTAAATAAAAACTGTTAAGCCTACAGGTTTATTCCTCTTTAAACATAAATTATCATATTATGTAAATTTAAAACTGTTAGATTTTCTTAGAAGTAAAATATATATATATATATATATATATTATGGACACTATAATAAGGTAAAATCAAAATTGTACTTGCATATTTATTTATTGTTTAAAATCAAAAAATATTTTATGAATATCTGCTCGATTTCTTTATTTTTCAACCAACTGTGTAGGCCAGTTGTGTAATGTCATCGTATAAATTTAATTTTATTGCGTTTCATTAAAAAATATTGACAAAGCACTCGGAGCCCCCTTCGCTGCATTGCTTTACACTAACATAAATTAAGCAAATTCATTCCCTTGAACACACATCAGTACTATTATAAATCGTTTAATTCTAATGTCACTGCACATTACATATAGTACAATGTAGTTACCTGCACTGAATGACGATTTAACCCCCGCCGCAGTTTACAACACCACTAAAAATACATAGTAATTTTCGTTTTGCTCATTGTCAAAAACACTGAATATTATGTAATATATTCTGTAAAATTTAAATAATAAGAAATGAGTTTATGTATAATAGTTATAATGAACATAAAAAAACATAATTTAGATTAAACAGAGAGAAGAATTATTATACGAGGTACACGTGTATAATTTTTTTTTTTCTAACAATCACACGTGTGTTCTCAAAAACTGTACTACACTCGAAATATAATACAAACAATGCATAACCGTGTACTGACTACCATATGCTAGTCTCCTGTGGACAGCATAAAAGTAAAAAAATACACATGTAACATGTTACATTGTACATTTAACATAGCATAATATTTTTTTAAACGTTTCATTTCGTAGTTCTTACGGAGTATACGGGTTTACAATACAAGCTCTTAAAAATACCTATACCAACTGGCAATAATCCCAACAATATGTTTACTGTGACCATGTTTCAAACAATATTTAAATACTATAAGAAGTATATGAATCGTAGTCGAAATATTTACAAACATTTATCGAATATAGTATGGATATTCCATGTACTACGAATATGGAATTTACAGTATTACAGTATAAAGTGTTATGTTACGTTACGTTAAAGTGTTTGTTGTGGTGAGTATTTTTAAACGATTATTCATTCGTAGGCTCTTGCGAAAATATTTCAACACAATTGCACGTGCATTACGCCTATCTTTGTTATGATAATGGTAAAGCTACTACGTACAAGTCTATCTGCAGCTAGTTAGCGATGAGAAAAAATGGTATAGCGTACATGTGCCGCGTACATATTTGTTACTGCATAGTAAGTCGTGGCCGTCACACGGCAGACAAATAAACAGTAATAGTTACGGTACAATATTTCTACAGTAAGTATAATATGTATGCATGTTATAACAATGGTTTATATTCAGGATATTTAATACGGGAGCAGTATGCGCGAACACGTGTGTTCCAACATGCGTGCATTTTGAAAGAAGATATACTACTTGATAAAGGTCAGTGTATTTTTAAGTATTATAGTAATTTAGTCATAGAAACGTATTTTTAAACACTTAACATGTGCTTGCAGCGTTTATTTATACAATTATAAGACTATTATATTTAGTAAGTATGTAGGTAGGTAGTTATGAAACGAAAAAAAAAAAAACTACCAAGTAATTAAAATCAAATAAAATTATCTACACCAGGTACGTGTGCATTCGTAGATATTCCTATTACCAGTGACGTATTTAGGGGGGAGGGCTAAAGCGCTCAGGATGGCATTTTTTTAGAGGCGACATCAGATTTTTACATATTTCATTTCATGTTGATGAACAATAATAGAAATTGGTTATTTTTTTTTTTTATCCAAGATAATATTTTAAGATTGGAAATATTTATGGCAGGGAGAGACAAAATTTGTCGACGAAAAACCTCTCCTTCAAAATGTAAATAAGTTACTTGTGTTCGAGAATGACCGATGAACGATTAAACAGTATGGCTATATTAAATATTGAATCAGACATCACAAAAAGTTTATAGTATGATAACATAATGTACTGTAACTGGTCTAAATCATACAATTCAAATTGCGTTAATTTTGCCACTAACGAGTTTTATCGTATTGTAATTGATGTTATGAATACATATGTACCAAAATGTATTAGTCATACACGAACATTTCCTAACTGGTTTTCAATTGATCTACATAGATTATCAAAAAAAAATTAGTTGCCCATAAAAAATATAAAAACTACAAAATCTATTCTGATTACGTAATATTTTCTAACATTCGTAAACAGTGTAAAATATAAACTAAAAAATGTTACTCTGATCATCTATTTTACACCCAAAATTCACTTATCAGTAATCCCAAATACTTTTGGAACTATGTTAACAAATCTCGGAAAATTAATGATATCCTTGCTTCTGTATACCATTTAGATAAAACCTCATTAGAAGTTGCTAACTTATTTAGTGTTTGGTTTTCGTCCGTTTATGTTAAGCCTATTATTTTTGATGATACAGTGCTAGATAATATCTATGACTACATTGATTGTAATATGATAGATATTTAAATTACTGAAGTTTTTGATGCCTTACCTTCGTTAAATAATACATATTCTTTAGGTTCTGATTTTATCCCTTAATACCACTAAATGTGTTCATACTTCTTCCAACCGCTATAAATCCCATATAAATGGCGTCCCCCTTAATTCTATTAATCAAGTACAAGATCCAGGTATTATTCTGGCAGCCAATGTATCCTTTAATGCACATATAAATAAAATATATGGGACCAGTCTTCGTATGTTAGGGTTCATCAAACGTAAGTGCCATGATTTTAATAACCCTTTATGTTTGAAAGTATTATATTGTTCATTAGTAAGATCATCACTTGAATTTGGCATGGTATTATGGAATTCAAATAACTTACAATTTATCAACAAATTAGAAGTCTAGAGAAATGTCCTTCGTTTTTACGCGTATAAAACAGTGAGATTAAACCAAAATATGGATAAGATTGCAAACTTTGCAGGTTTAAAATCACTAAAGACCAGACGGTTAGTTTTTGATGCTACTTTTGTTTATAAAACCTTGAATGAAGAAATTGACTGTCCTGAACTATTATAAAAAATTGATCTTAAACTACCCACTTTCAATTCTAGATATAACCCTCCTTTTGCTATACAACAGTCAAAAACAAATTACTTTTCTAATAGTTCTATGTGTCGCCTATCAACGTTATGCAATCAAATAAAAAATTTTGATTTTTTTTTTTGATTCATACACCAAGTTAAAGACTAAAAAAAAAAGTAATAAAAGTATAAAGTTATTTATAATTCAAATAATTAATATACATTTTCACTTAATTATTATTACTATATTCCTACACCTTGGGGTGTTTAACGAGTTTTTCGGATTGATGTAAAATATATATAAATATACATACAATATAATAAATGTATATTGTACATTTATTATATTTAATTGTGTTAAACCGTTATCGTACTTATGTATTTACTCATAACATTAACCATGATAATATCTAAATAATCAAATACTTTATGAACAAGTGAAAAGATGGCACAGTTTAAATAGTGTATTACAACTGTGTGTGTGTGTTAAAATAAAACGTAAATTTTAAAATTTATAATTCTATGATGGCTAAAGTTATCGAAAGTAAACGTGGAAATAAAACACTAGAACTAAACAACATTAAATTGTTTATTGGATCAGTTAACAAATATCAACTAATTATATATATATATATAGTTATAAATTATATAGGTAACTAAGGTATCGTATACCATAATATATCATTTTTTTCACCTTTTTATATCTGGCCATTTTTATAAATAAAATTTAACATTTTCCAACCTATATTGTAAATATTATACAATGACTTTACATTTATTGAATTAATAGTATATGTTAAATAAAGTTATTTCTGTGCTATAGCATTTAATTTAAGCGTAGTATACAATTTTTTTGGTAAAAACGTGGTTAATATCTTATTTGGCGGAAACGGATATTGGTGGGAACTGGTATTGGTGGAAAAGGGAAAGGTCTACTTTTGGTGGAAACGGGCATCGCCCTTTATAGCGTATACTTGGGAGGGTTTACTTCTCCGGGTTCTAGATTCCAGGTCAAATTAGGGCTGACAGTATTGATAATAATTTTCGGTATTACGGTTTTGATTTGTATACCAAAAAAACTGAAAAAAATCGGTATACCGAAAAACCGAAATTAATTGTTATACAGAAAAACCATAATGATTCGGGGTACTAAAACAAAAAAACGATAAATAAAATTTACCAAGTGCCAATATATTTAACTTTAATATCGTTTCACTAATAGACAACTAGTTTCACAAGTAACTAGTAAAAAAAGTGGATTTTTTTTTAACTGTCCTTGCCTATAGACCAGTGGTTCCCAAAGTGTGTGCCGTGGCGCCTTGGTGCACTCCGATATCTGTACAGGGGCGCCGCGTCGTCATGAAATACTATCAAGTAAAAAATTTTTCTTATGATTAATCGTGCTATGACTTGGGGAAAGGCACCCTGAAAAAACGTTAGATCAAAAAAGGCGCCGTGAGTCGGAAAGGTATAGGAAGCACTGCTATAGCCTATAAGTACCTCTTTTATTTATTTGTTGTCATTGTTTAACCGATAACACTGCGGGAACTGCTTTTGCAATGCTTTCGTGTTGCCGAGGTACCCTTATGCTATAAAACAACATGGATAAGTATTTTATGTCTATATTATTGAAAAGCTACAGTATTGGTTTAATACTTAAAACTTAAAAAGTAATCAATTTAGAGCTATATAACCCGCCTAAACGGTAGATAGAAGTAGGTACTCAAGTTCCACTGATATTAAATTAATTACGTATAGCCATATAGTATTTGTGAATGTTCGAACTTCGAAGTGCATGAACGAAACGGTTTTCACAAACAGATATCGACGCACAACATACAAAATATATTATAATAAAAATGCACAATAGTCAAACATAGTATAAAAAATAATTTAAGAAACTCGATTGGAAATAGACTTATAAATATTCTAACTATTCTAACTATTGGATGCAAAAAAAACTCAAGATTTGAGTATAGATAAAGTGACTGACGATTTCGCCATCGAAAAAGCCCGAAAAAAGATTTTTTGTAAATAATAATAATTAATTTAGTATTTAAGTGGTAATCTAAAAATTAATTTTATTGTCTATGTGCAATCTAATCAATAAATAATACATAAAAATTAATTACTTTTATACTATCTAATAATATTTTAACCTTCATAATTTCTATTATAAAATATTTTCGTACTTTTATATTTCTTTATATTGTTTAGGTAAATATTATTTTTATACCGTTACAATATTTCTAAGTAAATTATGGTTTAACTCCTTTTTTACCAGTTACGTAATAATAAAATATATATAAAAATTACAGATCAATCTTCAATTGTTGAATATAGAATTACAAACTTTATACTTAAAAAGACAGCTGATAGTATGTCTCTCCCACTAATGATATTATTTAATTTATCTATGTCTTCTGACTCATATCCAACTTATTTAAAAAAATGTATGGTTACTCCTATTCATAAACAGGGAGATAAATTGTTATGTAGTAATTATAGACCAATCTCCCTATCATTAAGCTTATCAAAAATCTATGAAAAATGTATTAAATATAGAATTGTATAATTTCTAGACAAAAACTCATTTCTTTCCAACAAACAATTTGGATTTCTAAAAGGAAAATCTACAAGTGATGCCCATTTTTTCCTTAATAAATATGTACATGAACATCTTGACCAGAATAACAAAGTATTAGGTACCATATGCCTAGATACTGAGAAGGCATTTGATTGTGTTAACCATCAATTATTACTTAAGAAATTAAATTATGCTGGAATTCGTGGTATTGCAAATAAGTTAATTAGTTCATAACTAAGTGATAAATACTTAAATTATTATCTATCACTTAGATATGAAAGACATCAAATAGTTAAAATTAATAATAATTTAAGTAAATCTTTGTCAGTCAAACATGGTGTACCACAGGGAACCGTATTGGGCCCGATATTTTTTATCATATATATAAATGGTTTACTTAATAATAAGGGTTAATACAGAAGCTGAAATTAAGTGTTTTGCCAACAACACAGTTATTCTCATCCACGATAAAAATATAGAGGAACTATATATTAAAGCAAATGTTATTTTTAATGACATTAAATTATGGTTTGATAACAATCTTTTAGAGTTTATTCTAAATAAAACCAAACACATTGTTTTTAATATAACTAATCAGAGGCGGATGCAGAGGGGGGAGAATGGGGCAATCCCCCCCCCCGTTCACCGTAGCAGACTTCAGTTTTTGACGTAATTACTTCAAGGGTATATAGGGAAATCTTAAACTATTTTTTTCTATACCAAACTTATGCTAGTACTATGTTATCACTTATATTTATTATTTGGTAATATACTGATATCACAGTTATATACTACTATCGTGATGTTAAATATTCGTAACCAAGTTTTGTGTTTTTCGAAATGTGATAACTGATAACGACCAACGTAAAAATCGTTGGGAACCTCCATAATCAACAAATTTGTAATTATAAACTCTATTGTTATGAGTAGGGACCGGATTTGTATGCACAAAAAATCCTTAAAGTATGCTTCTACAAATGTTGTAATATGCTATAAAATATGTATTTATTTTTAAATATGTATTTAAATATTCACTTAAAATGTTGTTTAAAATTATGTAAAAATATGTGAAATGTATTATAAATGTAAAAACAATCATTAATTAATACGGTATTAAAAAATGTATAAAAAAGCTTTTAAAATATTTTGTCGTCATTGTCACCATTTAACATTTTTTATCTTCAATCTATAAAGTATAAACACCCACATTAATAAAAAGTGAAAACAAAAATTGAATTCATATTTTATTTTATTGCATTGGATGATATGAGTATGTAATCTTATCTTTGAAAGTAACGACCGGTCGCAATTTTATCGATATTATGTGGCTGTGATCGTATAAAATACGACGAAAACGAATATATGTGCTATTAATAATAATATGCAAAACTACAAATATGCATTGAATATGCATTTAATAGGTAAAAATGTTGAAATATGCAAAATATGCAAAAAAAAAAATTAGTGTTATTTTAATAAGAAAGATCTAAATCGGGGACAATGCTTATCAGATTTCAAAAAGCTTATTCCAATACATATACGCAGTGCCGTATTTAGATATTTTGCGCCCCGGTGTAAAAAAAAAAAATTGGCGCTCCTCTAAGGGGCCTGCCCACGGAAAATATAGGAGATAAATCTTCGTGAACCTTTTAGATATTCTAAAATCAATGCTATTTTTGTGTAGTAGACATGCCACCGCACGCCGCACGCGATATCATACGCCATATTATTATAAATAACTTATGTTTATTGACATTATCATAACAAATTTGGGAACTAATATTAGGTATATTCAGGCTCATATTTAAAAATTTGACGCCCCCGGGCCCGTATTTATGCCACTCTCCAAAAATAAATAATAATAATATAACACTTATTATTTCGTCCGTAATCGAAATTCTTTAATATTATATTATAACTTATAAATTAAAATTGTTTAATAGTTTTTTTAATTAACAAATTATATTATAATAAAACATACTATTTTCTTTTTTTCTTTTTTTATTTTTTTTTATTAGGTACATCATTTTTGAAATTAATTTTGCTAAAATATTTTGCCGCCCTTGAGACTTGACGCCCCTGGGCATCTGCCTACCCCCCTGAATATGGGCCTGCATATAAATCCGGTCCCTAGTTATGAGACATATTGGAATAACTAAAAAAAATTATTATTATTATTACTATATATATATTTTTTAAGACTTCTTTTTTTATCTAAATAAATAACCTATATCAAAATTAAAACTTTTAATTTCATCTATATAAATATCTATATCATGTGTGTTCGTTAAAAATCCCTCCTCCCCCCGTTATCTCGGTCTGGATCCGCTCTTGTAACTAATATTGATATTCAAAACAATTTAAAAATCTGTAATCACTCATCATTATACCTAACGAATAATGATCTAAGCTGTACGTGTGTATGTATAGAAAATGTTAGTTGTATAAAGTATCTAGGATTATATATTGATTCGCGTTTAAAATGGAAAAACCATATAGAACATTTAATATCATTATGTCGAAAATTCTTTTATATTTTTCTTAATCTTAGATCTATATTTAAAAAAAAAAAACAATTAAGAATAGTATATATCTCACTCGTCCAATCAATTATTACCTATGGTATTGAGAGTTGGGGTTGTGCTTATGATACTCATTTAGAAAAACTAAAAACAACTACGAATAAATAAATAAAATTTATATTAAAATTATCTAATTACACAAGTACTAATACTTTATATAAGGAATTAGATATATGTATTTAATTTTGATAAGCTGTTTAAAAAAAGTGTATTATTACTTATAATTAAAGACCGGATTTATATGTTTTTACATATCATTACTTGGTCTATGCAGTTGTATGTGAGTAAAAAATGTGGACGATTCATTCAATTCTGAGTTTGTAGAAAAAAAGTTTCTTTTTACATGTTTGAGAATATATCATAGGTTAGAGAATATTTAGCCCATTTAGCATATTTTAGAATATTTGATTTTTTTTTCATAGTTGGAGATTGTACAAACTTTTATCTGCAAACTAACCAATATATCTGATGAAATGGGTAACATAATAAAAATACTAAAGTGTCTCAATTATGTTAAAAAAATAAAGGTTACCAAATGTTAGCAAAAGTTGGGAACATTTTATGTGGAACAATGAAGATCTTCCAGAATATTTTACACCTAATGTAGTTGTTGACATGAAGTTTGCATCTCTAATATCTGTTGATGTTGAACGTTCATTTAGTCTCTATAAATAAATTTTAGGTGATAGAAGAACTAACATGAGTACAGATAATATGTAAAATATATTATTGTTAATTCATATAATAAAATTTAAATAGTATAACAAGTTTCTTTTTTATTCTTCAAAAAGTAAATATTTACCATTGTATGCACCAAAAAATATTGTTTTTTTTTATACATATATATATATATTGTTATTTTATATCTTGTATTAAATTATTATTATTTAAGGATTACCTTTTGTTAACCAATTTTTTTTGTTTTATTATATTTTAATATATAAATGATTATTTTTTATTTTTAATATTGTGACAATAGTGTTAATACAAAATTTAATTAAAATATACCAAAGGAATATTGTTTTTAAATTTTAATACTGTAAACCAGGGATCACCAATCAGTCGATCGTTGTTAAATTTAATTTTACCACTATTGGTCGATCGCGTATAATAATCAGATTAATTGGATAATGGGAATATTAGATTTAAAGATTAAATATCTAAATTTTCCTGGATGTCAAACACTAGGGACTTAAATTTCAAATGTAGCTCATTTGTTTGAAAACGTTGACGACCTCTACTATAGACTATACTGTAATATTTTTACTACATTCCTACTCTTACTGAAGTACAATAGTATTGTCGGGTACACAATATAATATTATCTACCACCGCAGTACAATATTTGAAATTTATATCTTATCTGTGATACCACGGAGTGGGGAAGATATCCGCGTGGCACGGACCGTTGGTCACCGCCAAAGGCCGTAAAGTTGTCGTTGTTCCGCCGTCTTTGTGATCGGGTCGTGGCCTTGTGCGTCCATTATACGTCGCGAACCGGTGCGCCGTCGCCGTCAATATCCCCGGTGATTTCGTGCACCCCTTCATTGGGTAACTTTAAGCCGCGTCATGATTGCGCGCGAAGTGTATGGGCGAACCCCGTCGAAAAAAAGGGAAAAATTGTTATTGTTTTTGATTTTCGTGTCTCGCGCCGGAACACCACTCGGCATCATGCCGCGCACGTAGTATTGGCCCGTTCCGTTGCGCCTGGTACACCGTGGGTTACCAGATCGTCCAGGTCCCGTCATTTTTTCTCTATTCGTCACCGTTTTGAGTGCTGACCTGGTCAACCCGTCCAATTCGACATTAGAAGCAGATAGACCTTCGGATCCAGTCATCACGTGCTCAGCCGCGGAGTCGCCTATTTTGGAGTTTAGGTCGTACGCACACTTTTGCCATTTAATTGTTTTTTTTTTTTTTTTGTTTGTCTTTATTATTATTTCATTATTATATATAAATATTACTTATATTCTCCTTGATTATTATACTGTTCAGGAAGACCGGCTTGTGGTGCCCCCTCCCCCATGTACCTCCATGTTTTAGTATACTAACACTAATTTAAGCTATTTTTTTTTTTATATATATATATATATATATTTTTTTGTCAATATATCATATTAATTATTACCGCAATTGCCATATGTATTATAATATACTTCTAATTATCTCGCCTACCCATCACCTGACCAACATAGTTGTTCCCACCATGATACAGTCCACTACCTCATTCCGATATACACGTTTGTCTGAAGCCGTTAAGAGATGACAAGCACACGACGGATGCGTACGGACGCAGATACGCACTCGCCCGAAACGGTTTCTTGTGCAACCGTCGATCCGCACAAGTATTCTATTATAATACACAACTACGTATATACCTCATGATTAAAAAAATTTTTTTTTTTTTAAAAATGCATATTAAATCATATATTGATGTTTGTTGATTATTTTTGAATAATTTCGAACATTTTTACATATTTTTAAGATTTTTAAGAGAATATAATAAGAATATTTGAAGGTTTTTTAGAGAATATTAACATCATATTTAAGGTATTTTGAAAAAATATAAATCCGGTCTTTACTTATAACATAAGAACAGTATACCAATATGTAAACATAATGTTAACACTAGCTTTAAGAAAAATGTAAATATTAATATTCCTAGACGTTATAAATCTTTTGGTCTTAAAAGTACATTAAATACTGCTATTACTCTCTGTAAAAACTTAAAAATTAATATTAATAACTTCAATAACTATAATAATTTTAAATATACCATATTAACACTACTCTAAGCTCTGACATATAATTATAAATCTATGTATTGTTTTCATCTGTTACTATTATTATAACTCTTTTTTTCTTTTTTTTCTCTGCTCTTATTATATTGTAATTATAATTTTTGTTGTTTTTATTTTTTTTGTTTCGCTCTCATATTAATCTATTTATAATTATGTTCATTACTTAAATTTATATATTAAGAACTCATCACCTTCAATAAAAGCACAGCTTGTAGAAGGTGAGCAAACGATATCTTTATTATTATGTATTCAAGTGTATTAATTGTTTGTTTGCAAAAATTGTAAAAAATAAATAAATAAAACTGAATATTAAATTCTTTTATATTTACTAAGACCAGACTGTTAATATTAAAAAGTGAATATTGTCCCGTTTAAATTATTATGCTCACTAAATTAAATAATGGTGTGTACATTTTAAAGGGCCATCAAATTAATGTTTGCATTAGGGCCCCACAAAAACCAAGTAGCGACACTGAGTTCGTGTACCAGTAATTTCATTGGGTGTTGTTATATTTGGGCTTAACATTTTTTACACGGCACCGAAAAAGAAAAAAAAATAACAGACAATGATGAGAAATATTATTTATTGTTATTAATTTCATT